TAATTTACTGATAGCAAGTATTTTCTACCTGTCTAGATTTTTATTTACTTTTGCATATGGTATCACCTTAGATTTTATGGTATCATTTTTGCGCAAGCAAAATAATTCACTGGTTCCCTCTGAAGCCTATATATCTTTCAGGATTTCATGTGCAGCTCAGTACTTTTAACTGATGTGCTGCTGTAGTTTGGAGGCTGTGTTATTTAAGAATTACAAGTCACAAAAGCTTTTTGTAATGAAAAGAACTTATTTTAACTGGATAAGGACTGGGATGTGGTTGGGAAGGGAGAAATAAGGACAGTGGCAGTGCTGAGGTTTGTGGTTCCATGACATTGCATCCAGAGGGGTCAGCAGAAATCCCCCATGGCTGGTAGAGTCACAGAGGTAACGCAGAGTGTTACTGTGCCTGTTTTACAAGTGGAAAACTGGAAGCAAAAGATATTTAGGCTTGACCATTACCATAAGGAATGTGATTTCCTTACTGTGCTCAGTCCCGCAAACTTGCTGCCTGCTACCATCTTGATCTGAGCTATTTCTAAGTCTTGTGGTGGGCAGCTGTGCCAAAGAAAAGCCTGGTAAGCAAAACTGGGAGTTTGTCATCCCGTTCTGGAAAGCCTTTTGTCTGGGCTGGGGCTAGCTTTGCTCTTCCCCCAGTGTTGACTGTCAGGTAATGACTACTAAAATTTTCAGCACTCTTAAGCAGGAGCCCTGGGACTTCATCAGGAGATGATCATCCATAAGGCAGGCTCTGAAGCAGCGTGATGAATGTTTGTTTGTCTGTGGCGCTTTCCATTTGGTGCGAAATGGGAATATTGGAATGGTGGCACAGAAACTAAAATTTGGTATTTGCCACTTCCACAGGAACAGTTGGCGTGATGTAGTATACTGTTTTTGACCAAGATAGTTAAATTTCTTCATAGTAACTTGTATGGGGCTATGTTTTAGATTTGTGATAGAAATGTTGATAACACGGGGATATTTTAGCTGCTGAGCAGGGCTTACACAGAGTCAAGGCCCTTCCTGTTTCTCACCCCACCCCACCAGTGAGGAAGCTGGGGGGGCACGAGAGCTTGAGAGGGGGTGAAGTTGGAACAGCTGACCCCAAATGACCAAAGGGATATCCTACACCATACAACGTCATGCTCAGCAATAAAACCTGGGGGTGAGTGGCATGGGTGAAGGTTGTCTGGGACTGTCATTGCTTGGGGACTGGCTGAGCATCTGTCTGTTGGTGGTGAGCAATTATTTTCTTTTGCATCACTTGTTTTTCTTGTAGATTTTTTCCTCTGTTTTTTTTTTCCCCCTCCTCTTAAAAAAAAAAAATTAAAAAAAAAAACAAAAACTTTTTCCTCAACGCATGGGTTCTTGCACTTCTACCTGTTCTGATTCTCTCCCCCATTCTACTGGGTGGGGGTTGAGTGAGCTGCTAAGTGGTGCTTAGCTGTGTCTATTGAGGTTTATCAATAAAAAAAAGATTTATCTACCTATTTTTTCAAGCACATAGAAAAAGGCTAGGAACATTACAACCTATCAAGCAAAGTAACTGAATGTGAGCTTAATTTTAAATGTGTTAATGATCTTTATAAAAACATATTTGCAGTGAACTCCTTACTTTTTAAGTAAAAAAAAAAAAAAAAAAAAAAGACAGAAAGGATAGAAAGGGTCTGAGATTACTTTGAAGGACCTGCTCCTAAACTCCTAAAATTG